CGGCCCTAGCGATTTTGAGCTTATCTGGTGCTAGTCTCCTGGGTTTTGCAAACACCGGTGCACCTTCGGTTTTGATAGTGTGACTTACTTTTAGTTTGTCTTTAGAAGGCTGTGGGTTTGGTTTAGTTAAGTTTGGAAATTCCGCGAGTATATCTTGGAATTTCGCTGTTGTTACTGGGGAGTTTGAATCAAGTTAAGAGAGCTGATGTGACTTTCTTTGCCTTTTGTGTAATACGAAGTTTCTTTTAGTGTTAATCGCCGTTTCTTGGTGTCAACTAGAAATTCGTATCTCTCTAGAAAGTCCATCCCCAGTATTGCCAGATCTAAGTCGGCTACCGTGAAAACCCAAGGGAATTGCCTCCTGAACCCCAAATCTAGGGTTAAAGTTTTCTGCCCAAATGTCGCAATTTTAGTTTTATTTGCAGCTTGAAGTGTAATTGATGATGTTTCTCGACTAATCTCAGTTTTATTTTGAGGGATGATGCTAAGAGCAGCGCCAGTATCCACCAAGAAATTCAAGCCAGAGTTTCTGTCTCTAACATAAAACAAGCGACTGTTTAGGCGCCCCTCCTCAGTCGTCGCGACCTGGGGAGGGGTTACTCGTTTCCCGCTGTCTTAGAATTATGCTTAGGCCAGGCGCATGGTTGCATGCACTTGGTTGAGTTGACACCAAACTTCCAGTGGTACCAACAAAACTGCCCAGATTGTCTGGACATTTGTGACCTGTTTTGTGACTTGGATCGTGGTCGTTGTGGTGACCTGCTCCTGTTTCTATGACCCATTTGCATTCTGGTGACAGCCTCAGTGAGACTCTTAACACTCGCAATGAGTCCTTCTATTACGGGGTCTTTTGCTGATTCTACTTTTTGTGTGTGATTTATTGTGCCTGATCCAGTTGGAGGACCTCTTTCCATTATTCTGTCGGCTATACGCGCTAAATGAGATAATGAGGTTTCAGGATCCTGTGCATCCAAACAGTGTTGGACGTAGCATGGGAGAGCTTGTATCCATCCTTGTTTTAGGACTGCTTCACCCACTGTGTTATCACCCACTAAGACTTGGAGGTGACGTAAAAACTGTGACGGCGACCGATCACCTAGTGTTTCACCTTGAAAAAGTCTTTGGATTCTTTGACTATCTGATAATGATAAACGGTTCATTATCTCTCGTCTTAAGATGGTGTATGGTTGTGGTGATGGTGGATCTAAAATCAAGTCACGGACTTCTTTGGCGACTGAAGGAGGAAGGATAGAACACAAGTCTCTATAGCGAATCCCTTCAGATTTGATATTGTGTCTCGTGAAATAATGCTCTAGTTGAGCAAACCACAACTCAGGATCACTACGATCAAATTCTGGAAGTCGGGATTTCGTAGTCATAACAGTGTCTATCTCCACTGGTGACAAATCCTCCAGATTATGGGTTTCTATTGAGTCTGACATGAGGTATGTGACAAATATAGCAATAAAGTTAGCACAAAAAGTGGTTACTATAACACGAATAACTTAAGATAATACGGAATAAACTAGTTATATACTCAAATTAGTTTACGGATAATCAGGTCTACTTTTACGATTAAGTAAAAAAAATGTTAATAACAGAAATGAGGTTAAATTTGTGTTCAAAAAGGGCTCACCAGTTTCGTGCCTTAAGTAACCCTCGTGCTATTGATAGAAGAAACCAGACAAGTAGTGAATAGGTCTTTATTTCGATCTTAGCGCAGTCACAGTGGAGCGTGGGATTATCTGTTCAGACAAACAAAGGCTCTCAACATTCAATATAAGATAATAGGGAATATAACGCTTATGAAAAATAAGGAAGTGAATGAATACTTGAACAATACTGTTTTGGCATAAGCTTGGTTGTTTGGGGTCAACTCTTAACCAACCAACCTGAGCTGTTACAAACTTAGCAACGCTAATAAGGCCAGTCTGATAGGAATATCTGAAACCTGGATATCTTCTCAGTTCTCGGACCAAGAGTTAGCACTACCCGAGATGACTTTGTTCTGCAACGACAGAAAAACAGGAATTGGGGGCGGAGTAGCCATATACATAAGCTCTTGCTTGGAGGTGCATCAAGTTCATAACCTCGAGTTTAACAATCTTGAGGAATCCATATGGTGCTCTGTAAGATTGTCTAGTACTTTGAGGTGTCTAGTCGGAGTCATTTACAGGAAGCCAACTGCCGACATCGAGTACGATAGTCGTATGCTGGAAGGACTATCCCGCTCTACTCGTCTCGGCTTCACACACCTCCTGATTCTAGGGGACTTTAATCTCCCTAGAGTCAACTTCGCAGAACACACGTATACTGGAGGCGACAACTCAATTGAAGCTCGGTTCTTCAACCTTATCGATGACTTGGGATTGTACGAAAATGTGAGGTCGGCAACTCGTTGGAGAAACAGTCAGGCGCCATCGCGCTTAGACTGTGTATTCACAAACGAAGAATTTCTAGTTGACAACCTCTCATTCCTGGCTCCTTTGGGAAAGAGCGATCATTCCGTCATAGTCTTCAGTTTTGTCATCAAAACTAAGCTAAGGTATCCCAACAATAATTCGCGTTGGAATTTTAAACGGCGAACGTGACAGCTCTACATGACTATCTACAACAAGTGGTTTGGGATGTTCACCCTCAACTCGATGTGGACGGTCATTGGGACTTCTTACTGCACACGCTCTTATGTGCTACAAGCCATTCAGTTCCTCAGACGGTTCCCAAAAGCTGCAAGCCACCTACAGTAATCAAGAACCGTACCCTTCGCCTGCTAAACCGCAAAAGGCACTGTTGGGCAGAATACAAACGAACTGATAACGACGGAGCGTATAGGTAATATAAACATATCAGGAACATATGCACGAAGGCTATAAGAGAAGACAGGCTTCAGTACCAGACAAAGCTTATGGACAAATTTGCCTCTAATCCTTGAAGCTATAAGTACCACCAAATATAACATTACGATCGTAAATGTGATCATTATTCAGAGGACTATCAGAATAATGGTTTGTAGTGGCATTAGACCATAACCACACAATCCACAAAGTTGAACACGAGACTACTCAGAAATAGATATTCAATATTTAACGCGGAGAAATACCTCAACTGCTAGGTCTTAACGGCCCGATCAACAACGATGGCGACGCCGCTAACCTTCTGGCAGCACATTACTCTCAGACATTTCAACCGGCCGACATAAACTTTACTGACGACAGTTTCATCCGCAATTCCACAGGACTTTCCGAAGTGGACTTAAGCGCTGACTTGGTGTTCCGGAAATCGCAGCACTTAAGACTAGATACTTCTCTCGGCCCGGATATGGTTCATCCTGCCATACTTAGGGAGGTAGCCTCAATCCTGGCAACGCCGCTTAGCGTGATGTTTTCACACTCGCTAAGCCGAGGCAAATTACCGGAAAATTGGTAGTTGGCTCACATCACACCAATTTTCAAAGGAGGTCGACGCAGTGAACCTTCAAGTTATCGGCCGGTGGCTCTTCTGTCATTACCTTCAAAAATCATGGAGTCCCTGATATGCGACGGTTTAAACGACTACCTACTGTCCTTAAATTTCTTCTCACACCAACAGCATGGTTTCAGGAAGGGTTACTCTTGTATAACCAACCTGCTGACTGCGGTGGACAGATGGACAAGCATCCTCGATCGCAAGGGAAAGGTTGATATCAGTTACCTTGATTTCTCAAAAGCTTTTGATAAGGTTAACCACTTGTGTCTTATCAATAAGCTCAAACGACTAGGTATCAGACCACCTCTAATTGATTGGCTTACTTCATACCTAAAAAATCGACACTTTAAGGTTAGGGTTAATTTCACTTTATCTCAGGCTATGGAATGTCCCAGTGGGGTCCCCCAGGGCTCAGTGCTAGGACCTCTTCTCTTCTTGATCTACATAAATGATCTTCCTCAACAGGTAACGTCAGATTTATTACTTTTTGCCGATGACGTGAAACTTTGGAGAGAGATACGCAACCTAGACGATATACAGGCACTTCAGGAGGATCTGACTCGACTTCAAAGTTGGGCAGACGATAACGGACTTACCTTTAACACTTCAAAGTGTAAAGTAGTCCATCTGCGACATGTCGCAAACTACAGTTACAACTTAGGAAACCCCTCTCTAGTAGTATCCCAAGTCGAAAAAGTTTTAGGAGTCTTGGTGCCCTACGATTTAAAGTCATACACTAACTGTGACAAAAATGCCTTCCGAGCAAACCTTGCACTGGTAACATTGAAGCGCATTTTTGGACAGTTTGACGGACGGACTTTCCATACAATCTCCAATAGTTTCATCCGTCCCCATCTAGAGTACGGAAACATAGTATTTCCCCCCTCACTCCAAAAGAACAAGGTCACTTTGGAGTGTATCCAACGGCGAGCCACGAAATCAGTTCGAGGACTCAAATTTAAACCTTACGAAGAACGCCTCCATTCACTAGACCTTTACCCATCAGAGTATAGGCGTCTTAGAGGTGATTTATTAATGGCTTGTAGTATTCTTAACACTTCTGGACATCCTCTTAAACACCTAGTTAAGCTTAGTTCGAATAATAACCTAAGGGGTAACACCCAAAAACTGGAGACACAACATAACAAGACGGAATGTAGACGCAACTTCTACTCCTTAAGAGTTGTCAAATGCTGGAATTCGCTGCCGGCCGAGCTAGTCCAAGCGACTTCCCAGGAGTCCTTTAAGAGGCAATTTGATCTATTCTTAAGGACCAAGAACAGCATCACACTATGATTTGCCAATTTCTTTTCCTCTTTTATTGTTAACATACCTAGGTTCCTGCCTGGAGGATTTGGTGATCCACTGCTACTAGACACGGAAGCCTGTTAAGCGAAAGCTTCTTCTATTCCATCCACAACCATTTGAACCATTTTCATTGTTCAGCGGGAAGACGATCTCTCCAAGGTCACGTTGCCGTCGTCTTTTCACGTGGTGACTATCTATTTCCCTTTCTAGGCTTTGGATATTAAAAGATGGTCAGGAAATGCCTAAGTAAATTATGAGTATTAATATTACTCTGCCTGTAGAAAACAAAAGTAAGCGCGTAACCTGTCACAAGCGATACAAAATTATCAAGAAGGTAAATTTATAGATATTTGTTCAAATACTGGTTAGGTAAAAGAGCATCACCGCAAGTTACGTAAGGAAGCTAAAAAGAACTTAAACCGACATCGTAGGTTTAATAATTTTAATTCCCAATGATTTCAGGAAAGGATCCTGGTGTCCCTAACATTCTACCCTTCAAAGAAAGTTTTCTGAAAGATGTTGCGGAAGCAAAAATGAAGGTAATTTATATTATTCTTGATGAATGGTTTAGCTAGAAGAAGCAAGACTTAAAAATATAGAGTATTCTCAAACTTTTAAGTCTCTGAAACATGAAGATGTTTCTCACTCAACAGTTCAGCACGATGTTAAAGACGTTATAAACCAGTCTGACGTTATATTGGAAGTATTGGATGCACGTGATCCAATGGGTACACGCTGTCCAGATATAGAAGAAACTGTCCTTAGGGAGAATAAACGTTTGGTTTTGCTCATCAATAAGATTGGTAAGTGTTACATAGGTAACCGTTTTAGACCTTGTTCCGCGATCTAATCTCGAGGCTTGGGTAAATTACCTACGCAAACTCACACGGTCATAACATTCAAGGCAAATACGCAACGCCAGAGTAACCATCTTTCGTGTGGAAAACCATATCTTCTGAAAGATGGAAAAATGTAAGTATTTAAGGTTTTAATTTGTTCAGGCCAAGTAAAGGGTTCGGAACTTCTGAATTATTGTCTTTACTTGCAAACTACTCCCGTGATCCAAGCTCCAGTCTGTCTAACACTAACACTCGCCTTAGTTTGACCGTTGGTGTCGTCGGCCTTCCGAATACTGGCAAAAGCGCACTCATAAATACAATTAAAAGGCAAAGGTGTGCATCAGTGGTAATGTTCCCGGTTTAACACGGTAGTTGTTGGTATTTATTTGATTGTGAATTTAGTCAGTCTCAGCGTGTACGGATTGACAAGAACCTATTTCTTCTCGATACTCCGGGTACCTTGATTTCAAAGTCATCTGATGCTTCAGATCTTGTGTTAAGAAATTGTATAAAAGTAAGTGATACTATAAAAGCTTTTTGCTCAAACTTCACTTTTGGAATGTCGGCTTATAGTAATTAGTTATAACTAATGTATACTCCAGTACAAATTTGGGTCAGGCCAGTTGACTATACGATTCAACAGGACGCGATAAAATTACAATAAATCGTAGTCGATGTAGTAGTTGTATCAATGATTGTGAAAAAGATAAAATCCTGAGAATATAGTCCTTTTATTTAACTGACGTTTATTTTTTATGTAGAACATTTTGACATGTATGTGTGACCAGACTTTTCTAAATGTATGGCCTAAATACATTACATTTCTCATTCCAACTCTATTTGATGCCCTATTGTACCACTATTTATGTGTTCAAGTAAATAAACATTTTCATCCCATTTGGGCTGGAGTCAATATAAGTATAATTAGAAACGAAAAATAAACAACGGCGTCATTTTACAATACCAGCCGCTGACAAAAGTGCAAGGAACATAAGGAAATCGCAAAATAACTTTACATCAAATTTAGCTCTACTGTCCACATTTCGAAATGTGATTCTATCTGTGACGTGAATATAACAGTTTCTATTGGGTTTTAAATAGCAACGCTAGATAATGCATAATAAACAGCGTTCCATCCCAGTGGAATACTTTTAACAAGATTAACTTCACATCTGTATGTACTTTTTGCTGTCCAAAATACACGCTTTGAAATCAATGTTTAGGAGTAAAGAGACAGTGTTTACCACTTCATATTTGTGAAACCATCTAGGATGTTAGCTTGTCATCAGTTGTTCCGTCTCGGTTAACATTATCAATACGTTTTATCAGCAGCTACTAATTTTGCAACTTTTTTCAAACTTTTTAACAGCCAGAAATGCTCCCGGATCCTGTTCCAGCTGTTGAAGCCATATTGCGTCGTTGTTCACAAGCGCAACTGGTTTCTAAGTATAAGATTGAAGAGTACAATAATGTTTCAGAGTTCCTAGTTAAGTTAGCACACCGTTTGGGTCGAATGAAAAAGGGTGGTATTCCAGACACCACCATGGCAGCGCGTTCTGTAATTAATGATTGGATTATGTAAGTAACCTGTTGCTGTGACATTCTTTTTAGTGGAAAAATCACCTACTACACGGAGCCTCCGTATACTGATACTGTGGAAGAAAATCTCGATTTATCTTTAAAAGGTAAGTTAATATTTCCTACAAAGCAATCTGAATTTCTCAACATAAGAAACATTCTTTCATAAGCATCTCTAAGTTTCACCACTGTCGTTTGTTTTTAAAGCAGCTTTTGTATGGAACAATTTTTTGAGTTTAGAAATATACCGCCAATCGATACGTTCGTGCGCTGTGGTAATCATTCGCGACTTGACTTAAATACTGTGGATTTAGCTACTTATATCCTCTTCTTTTCTCTGCCCTATTTACTTATGCCTGTTACCCCTTGCGGGATCATAGGTCACCGACTAAGGTGCTTCAACTCACCCTTCCAGTTGTTTCCAACTGCCATTCATTCTTTTGATGTCTGCTTCCAATTCCGGGAGCAATGTGTTCCTTGGTCTTCTACTTTTCCTTTTGCTTTCAGGATTCCAGGTTAGCGCCTGCCTCATGATGCAGTCTAATGATTTTCACAATCTGTTTCCTATTCACTTCCAACATCTTTCCTTAAATTCTACTTCGGCTGGAAGCTGATTTCTTATCTGACATATTATGTTTTTGCTGATGGTGTCGGGCCAACAGACACGAAGTGTCTTGCATAGACAATTGTTCATAAATACCTGTACCATTTTGATGATGGTTGTAGTAGTTCTTTATGTTTAAACTCCATACAATGAAACCGTCTTGATGTTTGCATTGAAAATTCAGACTTTGATGTTGGTTGACAGACAGTTGTTTTGAGTCGTAGATGTTCTCCAGTTACAGGAATGCCGTCCTTGCCTTGCCGATCCTTGACCTCACATCTTCATCAAATCCTCCCTGTTCATCGATGGTGCTGTTCAGGGTACGTGAAAGTTTCTATACTTTCTCTATCAAGTGTGATTGGGTTGCTGTTCTCTGAGTTGTATTTCAGAATCTTGCTTTTCCCCTGTGTATGTTAAAGCCTACTGCTTCAGAGGCTTTTGCTACATTGACTGTCTTCACTTACATTTGCTACTGTGTATGAGATCGGAAGGTTACGTTATATGTGAAGTTCAAATCATCTAGCTCTATCTAAGTGCTCCATTGTATTTCGTGCTTCCCATGAGACATGGTAGTATTGATAATCCAGTCAACCATTATATGAAAGGGGTGAGAGTAAACAGCCTTTTCTGACTCCGATACTCACTTGGGATGTATCTGTGTTACGTCCTTGATATGTCTACCCACTTTTGGTTCTGAGGGTAACTTCTCTAATGTAGATTAATATTTTAACGCGATAGGCTGACTGGCTTAACCTTGAGGCTAGTATACGTGAGTTCGAAGTAGGGTAGAAAGAAAACTATTCTATCACCTGATTGGCTGACAAGTGAGAGAAGACAATTCAACTGGGACACTACTCGACTTATTCCCAATTCCGATCTGGTTCCCGATTTCAGATCAGTGTAAAAAGGTACATGAATAAATAGATGACTAACCGGAGCACAACGTACAATAATTAGGAAAATATAATTATGTCCAAAACTGGAGATTAGCGTAGAAAATAGAATACAAAATATTACGTTTAAATTACAATAGCTTTGGAACAGAAAGGGCTATGGCAGTGAACTACGCATCAAATAAAAGCTTATGATTTATAGGATAGAGTAGGGACAAAAATAAATATTACTGTTTTACAAGTTTTGAATTAAATGATATAACGTCCTAAAAAATAGATTCCACAGTTTGTCAAGGCTTCTTGTTTCTCTGTTCACATCAATCTGTTAGCTGCCCTCTATGCACCACTTTGCAGTGTGATCCGTCGTATGATTCTCGCCTGTTGTTGACGATCTCAGGTACACTGTAGTGTCAAATAAGGCTTCATAAGGTTCTCCTATCCACACTGTCAAATGCTTCCTCATCAGGGAAGTTAACGTATGTTGGCGAGTTCCATTCAATTGATTGTTCAACAATGATAGAATGGCTAACGCTTAACACCATGTCACCAAAGTATACCATTTTTATATTGAGCCAGCGTGTTTAAATACCTCATTTGTAGTTATCTAGCTTTCTATTGAGACAGATACTAACACAGTCGTGAACAAATATGCGTTGGCCCAAGTTTCTATACCATATTAGCACGACAAGAGATAAAAATAACGTTGTAGCAATTCTAATAAGAAAAACAAAGTAAAAAAGTCTGTATGAAAGAATATTCAAATTCAAGATCGATTGAAAGATAAGGGCTGGATGCACCCGCACTATTGCGAATGATTCTGAGCAATGTTACCCAATCTCCATCCATTAATAACCGTTGTCGCACGGACCCCAACCAGTGAATTTGAATCAAATCACCAATTAATGAACTGATACCATGTTCTAGTTTTACCGCCCCTGGCTTTTTTCAACCTACGACTATGCCATTAAACATCGCCCGTCAAGGTAAGTTGTGGTCAGCCATTATTGACACATGTCTTAACAGCCTTAGTTGATGTTTCACCAACGGATTTGCCCCCTCTTCCAAATATCATGCCTAACCTTAAAATTGCCATTCCGTGCGACGCAAATAATGTTTCTATTAGAGACTAGGTATAAACCTATAGCCAGCTACTAAGTCATTGTTAACGACACTTCTCATCTGCCTAAGAAAACTGCGCCGACTCCAGTGTGCCTTGCGAAAAGCAGCTAATTTATCACGACTCTTATAGACTTCCCAATTGTATTCACAATTTTGTAAGACATGAGTTTTGAGTTTTTAAATGCGTTCTAATTCGTATTTTTCAGACAATGCAATGGATATCTCTGAATTTCCGACAAGCTAATAGATGTAAATGTTTGGGAGTGTAAATATAACATTTAATGTATTTTGCTTTGACTGTTAAAGATTGATTTTCAATCATTGTTACATGGTTGATAATCGTTGCAATCCTGTGCAGATGTATTCGTTTCCACGTGGTCAATTTTTCAATTATGTGCTTAGATTTTTTCCTTATTGGCTTCATTTTAGGAGACTGTTGCTAACATATTATATAAGGTCAACTGGTGGAGAATTCTTGTATATTTCAGTCGTGATTTTCTTCCAACTGGGACTAGTTCATGATGCAAGTTACCTTAGAAAATCATCACTCATTTGTATTTAGTAGTGTGTATTATAAATGAGAAGCATGTGCGACTATTCAATTCTGTAGATGCATAAGTTTGTGAAAACTGAGAAACATGCAACAAATGTTGGATGCTATATATAGGTGCCGACCTAATTTTCACTTTGACTCCGTAGACTGCTACAGCTTGAATCTGTTCATCTTTGGGTTAGATTCTACGTTTTATTGAATAGGGAATGGAAGTCATGGTAGTACTCCGATGTAGTCGCGAGCCGTAGAAATGGCTCTTGTTTTTTAATTTGCAGCTGTATACGAATGATTGATGTGATTTTAGTGATAGTAGCACCAGCAGATAAATCAGCTAAGCTCGTGAGCTCTGAAACCTTAGTAGAGGTAGTCGAAGCAATTAACCAGCATTCTAAGTTTGTGTAGTTGTAATTCATTTTCAAGTGCAATTTTACGTATTCGACTACATTTGGGTTACATTGTGCGTATATGAACCAGTATTAGGAGTTGGTTGCTAAAACTAAAGTTAGCGTGCATCTCAGCACGAGTCGTTTCTTTGGTAATTTCCCCACAAAATGAAATTATCGTCATACACTGTATTATCAATATCGAAATTTCACTAAATCCTTATATTTCTAAAACCATCGTCGGTTGTTTTTTATATATTTGGTATTAATATTCTTAATGGTTTTGTTTCTATATGCCATCCCGACTTACCAGTTATGGTACCTTAAGATTATACTGTTTTAAACGTCGACTAGATAGGGGATAAAACAAATATACTATTAGGCATTTAACTAAATAATTATTATACATACAATCGCTAGTAAGGTTTTATAAACAACATTTCCAAAGCTTTTTCTACAACCTGTATAATAAGATACTTTAACTATTTAGTGGTTGGTGATAATTGACAGTAAATCTCTAAGCTTAGGTTTCCTGCTCGTTGTGATTCGTCAGCAGGTCGTACCTCCAGTCTCATGGTCTGATATTCCCTTCCGAATTAAAACCCTCGTCACCAAGCTCCACAGCCATTTGGGCAGCGACAGATTTCCAGGACTGAGATATTTATAATTTTCTGGTGACTTTAGTAATCAGTGTCATGTTAGTCTAATTCTTTGCTGTTGACGGAATTCTATTGATCGAGTTACAATAGGTGCTTGATCAAAACAGATGTTAGGAAACTAAAGGAAATAGTAGTGACGTACCTTCTTGATAATATATGGGAAAACACTTTCAGAAATATCATCCGTCTTTCTGATGTGCTTATTTAATTACGCGGTTTGTTAAGAGGTGTCTGAAACTATGAATCTTGTTAAATGATGAAACTACAGCCAAAAAACCACCAGGCTATAACGGTTGTACTGTCTTTCGGGTCATTAGTATAGGTGGCGTACGTGGTTCAGTCGCTACATTGGGATATCTACCCTCAAGCATTTAACGATTGTTCTGTTTTTAGAGCACCCAGGTCCTACGCTGAAGTGAAGCGGATCTGGTTTTCAAATTTAGTCCATTATAAATACTTCTAAGGAAATATGTGGTCTGTTGCTTCTTTACAAACCATGATGAACATCTCCAGTTTTATGCAGAAACGTTGTGGGAGGATGAGCCACCATCAATACCGTTGCTGTGTCCTTACCTACGTTACTTAAAACAGGTGCGGTATGTGAACTGGAAATCCGGTAGGTCACCAGCCCCAAGTGTGTCGTCACGTGTATCCTGTCGTTTATAATCATTGGAGTAGGACTAGTACATTTTTGATGAAAGCTGAGTAGCACAATTAAATGAATGTCATTCAAGAACACCAGAGTTTAATAATTATAAAGTCGAAAGACAGCCTAAAATCAACAATACCACAAACGATTGTTTAATGAATGTTCACCACGTATATACTAATCGGTTTATCAAGAGATAGGCATCAAAGTTCCCTTCTCGTGTATTTTATCCGTCTGCCCACTAATTTACAGGAGAACTGTCTAGCTTAAGCAATTTTCGATTAGAAAAGAATATGACAGTGACCTAAACGAAAGGTTATGACTCATAAAATAAAATAGATGAAACTGGGTGTTCGTTCTTCACAGACCGACTGTCCCAAAATAGCTCTGTTATTCATCATTGCTTCACTCTTTATGTTGCAGTAGTTGTTCAGTTAAAAGCAAGGAAGGTATCTAGTCATAAATATTGCGTATTAAACGTAGGTGTAATAAACTCATTTTCTTGACAGCACTCATATCGTAATAACAAGCACACCATAGGAAAGTAACTAAAGAAGACTAACATTTTTGATATAAATAAAGTTGAACTAGAAAACCAAACATACAAGGTTTTAAGAGTATTTTGACCGTTCGACTGACGACCAGTGACTACTAACTAAAAATTAAGGGGTATGCTTGTAGGGAATTCACTGTCACTTCTTGATATAATCCTGATTTTCCGATAGATTCAATGAACGCTAATTCACTGGTTAAAACAATGTGTCATTTACAATTATTCTGTTGAAGTCAGTAATATGGCGAAATAAGTTAAAATCACAGGAACGTCAATTAAGACATATAAATCTCAGCTAAAACGTAGGACCAGGCACTAATATGTATCGGTCCAAATTGCCATGCCGCGTTAGCACAGCAAGCTGAACACCGGATTCATAGTAGTTAAGTCAGTGGTGGTAATGTATAAAAGAAGGATTACATGTAACGACAGAGTACAGGAAGAAAGAAAGATATAAGGCGATTTTAATCTCATAGTTTAGAGGAAGACAGAGAGTATATACACCTACGCCATTGTGATCGATTCTGAGCCATGTCACCAAGGGGTCTCCAACCATTGGTTACGAAAGTCACGCGGACCCCAACCAAGTAGTCTGCATCTACCAACATGGCTAAGACTAGAAGTTAGTGACTTCAAGCATTGATGCCACGTTTTGGTTTGACCGCCCCTAACTTTCTCCCAACCATCCCGAATACCAGTTAGCATTGCGCGCCGTGGTAATTGATGTTCAGGCACACGCAACACATGGCCCAACCACCTCAGTTGATGAATATTCACAACCTCACCAACTGAGTTACGGGTATCTTCAACTCTTAATGGCCACGCTTCGCAGCCGTAAAGTAAAACAGAACGAACTGCCGCGCAGTATACTCGTCCTTCTATTGATAGACGGATATCTCGTTTTCGCCACAGGTGACGTAAGTTGGCGATAGCCGAACGAGCTTTCTCAATACATGCAGAGATTTCGGCAGACACCAACTCATTAGAGCTGATCAGACTTCCAGGATAAGTTACGTTGTCGATGCGTCCGACTACTTCACTCCCTATCCTTAATTCAGGTGTTGGCGCAGACCAATCCTGAAGCAACAACTTGCATATACAGGGAGAGAAGCGCATTACAAACATACTGGTATTGTTGATCAGCGCTACCAAGACTGCATTTCATCAACGTGTTCACCAAACAGGACTATGCCATCTGTGTATTCCAGGTCGAAAAGTGGACCTCCCGGAAGATCGGTTCTTGAAAGTTTAGTCGATGACGTTATTTTCAGCAGTAGGTCTGTGATAAAGTTGAACAAAAATGGAAATAGTGGACAGTCTTGTCGGACACTATTTGAGGTTGCAAAAGAAGATGACAGTTCGCCATAATCTCTGACTCGACTGGTAGTGTTCGAGTAAAGAGCCTTCACAAGGTTTATGTACTTCTGAATGTTTCTTTTAGGTCAAGAAAGACCACCGTTGTCGGACGCCGATAAGTATGCCTGTGTTCTAGAACCTGACAAATGGTGAATATGTGGTTGATGCAGCCACGACCAGGTCTGAAGCCAGCCTGATTTTCTCGTGCTCGTAGTTTACTAATCTTAAGCGACCGATAATTATTGACGCTAGTATTTTAAGTTCTATGTTAGTCAAACTAACCCCTCTATTTTCACAGGATAATTATGACCTTCTCTCATATATTGGGACGATCAGTGATTGTGACCAGTCAGATGGGATAACGCCCAACTCCCAGATTTTAGCTAAAATATTAATCAACCTAATCGCTAAAATTGGACCACCATCCTTAAAGACCTCTGGAGACAATCCATCTGCCCTTCCTCGTTTCAGACTAACTATAGCCTTTTGAACTTGAGCTAGACTCGGTCGACCTACTTCTGGAAATGGTATGTAGTTGAAGGCCAACCGAACTTCTCCTTAAAATATTCCGCCCATCGTTCTAAAAGTCTGGGCTGAGAGCAGATGAGGGCGTCGTCTTTTTCCGAGATAGTCTCACATCAACTGGACTTATTAATTCCAGTTTCTTTTATTAGTCTAAATCTCTCTGCATGATGCAAACCAAAAGTAGTGACCTAGTGTTGTTTTGGCCGCTAGACTCTCCTCGACTTATTCGTTTGGTACGTGTTATACTGTACCTGAGTGAACTGAACATAAATAACATGGTTGAAATTTTACAACTACATTAACCTTTATAGTGCAACGGTGAAGCGGTTGAATAGTGGTTGCTCAATTTTCAGTCAGTGAGCGTTTTCAACCTAGTTCGATTTGTGTTACGAGATAGTATCACTAGCCCCAATAGAAACGATGTGGCCCAAAGCCGATTGATGATTTAGTTTATTAACCATGTATGGATTTATGTACTCGCAGCTTTGAGCTACAGTTTGTGTGTCAGAGTACATGAATGTAATAAATAAGGTAAATCATCATCCCTTACCTGTTATTAATGTGTG